TAAAGATTGGTGCTATTTTTTTTTTTTAAAAAAAAAAAAAAAAAAAAAAAAAAAGGTTCTGAATCATTACATCTCAGTTAAAGCCAGAAACCAATTCTAACAACTTCCTGGTGATGTTATGCTGCTGGTCAACAGACCACACTTTTTATGTATCAAGAGCCTGAAAGACATTGCAGAGAGTATGTATACAATCTTAAAGCTGGAGTTAAGATCCCTCTTGCTCCCACATTTCCTGTTGTATAACCACAGACTCATCTTACAGCTCTGAGCCTTCTTTTGCCATCGTTGAAATATGGTGATTAACTACTGCTAACATTTACTGAGTGCTTACTACGTACCAAGAATTAATGTTCCATATTTATCAATTTATAAATTGAATTGGACTTAGGTTAAACAACCTGTTCAAAGCAGGTACTGTAAAGCTAGATCTGATTCTAGGTAGTTTGAGTCAAGAACCTAGTGTATAATCTCTGTGTAAGACTTTTTAGCTCCTAGAGCCATTACACAGATAAATAATTGGTATTCAGGGGCGCCTGGTGGCTCAGTCGGTTGAGTGTCCGACTTCCGCTCAGGTCATGATCTCACTATTCGTGAGTTCGAGCTCCGCGTCGGGCTCTGTGCTGACAGCTCAGAGCCTGGAGCCTGCTTCGGATTCTGTGTCTCCCTCTCTCTCTGCCCCTCCCCTGCTCATGCTCTGTCTCTCTCTCTCAATAATAAATAAACATTTTTTAAAAATTTTTAAATAAATAATAATTGGTATTCACCTAACATTTATTGAGCGCTCATATGTTCCAGACCAAGCTCCCTTGGAAGCATATTAACTCATTTAACCTTACAAAAGCCCTAAGAGGTAGGTACTATTAGCACCCCATCTTACAGGTGTGGTTTTTTTTTTTTTTTAATGTTTATTTATTTTTGAGACAATGCGAGAGCCAGAGTGCAAGCAGCGGAGGGGCAGACAGAGGGGAGACACAGAATCTGAGGTGGGCTCCAGGCTCTGAGCTTGTCAGCCTACAGCCCGACCCGGGGCTCGAACTCACGAACCATGAGATCATGACCTGAGCCGAAGTCGGACGCTCAACCGACTGAGCCACTCAGGCGCCCCTTACAGGTTTTTAAATGGGCCCAAATACCCAAAGATCCCACAGCACGGCCAGGACTGGAACTCAGGCAGTCTCACGGCAGAGCTCAGTGCTCTTCTACCACAAGCCTGGAGAGGATGCGATTCCAGGGCTCTGGGCTACCAGACACCAGCTCGCCGACGTGGGCGCACCCTCGCGTCCACTTAGGGAGGTCTAATTGCCATCCCCTGCTCGCTTGCAAAGCAAATCAAATCTTCCACAATTAGCTTTATGTGTACCTGTGGGAAGTGTCTTTCTCGGCTCACACCCAGGACCCCCATGAACACGTCAGGGCTCTGGCAAAATATAATTTGTCTAATCCCAGAAAAAACTGAGAAGCTAAACATCCTGAGAACTGATTTACACTGAAATTGTTAACAGTCGCAGCGGGACCCCCTCAAACCGCGACCCCCAAATTTGCACCGCCCCCTTAACGCCGCTGCATCCTGGGAGCCACAGTCCCAATTAGGCCTGGAATTTGTAGTTTGGACTCCTCGAGCCTACACCGCCTACCTCCGGGCCGCTGGTGAAGGCCCTCCGATAATCCCATCTGCTCTCCAATGCTGCTCTCTGCCGGCCTTTTCTCAGGTTGCCGGGACTGTAAACCCGTTCCGGGTGCTCCGGAAGCGAAGCTTTCTCTTCCGGAACAAGCGTCTGGGCGACCGCACGTGGTTGCGTTGCCCGGGCTTCTGCCGGCGTTTGCAGAGAAGTATTTGGATTGTCTCCCCGAAACGAGTGAGCCCAGGCGGAGCCATGGAGGGCCAGAACGTGGAGGAGCTGCTGGCAAAGGCTGAGCGGGACGAGGCAGAGAAGCTGCAGCGCATCACAGTGCACAAGGAGCTGGAGCTGGAGTTCGACCTGGGTAACCTGCTGGCCTCGGACCGGAACCCCCCATCGGGGCTGCGGCGCGCGGGACCCTCGCCGGAGGCCGAGCTGCAGGCCCTGGCGCGGGACAACACGCAGCTGCTCATCAACCAGCTGTGGCAGCTGCCCACGGAGCGCGTAGAGGAAGCGCTGGTTGCGCGGCTGCCGGAGCCCACCACTCGCCTGCCGCGCGAGAAGCCGGTGCCCCGGCCACGGCCGCTTACACGCTGGCAGCAGTTCGCGCGCCTGAAGGGCATCCGTCCCAAGAAGAAGACCAATCTGGTGTGGGACGAGGTGAGTGGCCAGTGGCGACGCCGCTGGGGCTACCAGCGCGCTCGCGACGACACCAAGGAGTGGTTGATCGAGGTGCCCGGCGGTGCCGACCCCTTGGAGGACCAGTTCGCCAAGCGGATCCAGGCTAAGAAGGAACGGGTGGCCAAAAATGAGCTGAACCGTCTGCGTAACCTGGCCCGCGCGCACAAGATGCAGCTGCCCAGCACGGCGGGCATGCACCCTACGGGACACCAGAGTAAGGAGGAACTGGGCCGCGCCATGCAGGTGGCCAAGGTTTCCACTGCCTCTGTGGGGCGCTTCCAAGAGCGCTTACCCAAGGAGAAGGCGCCCCGGGGCTCCGGCAAAAAGAGGAAGTTTCGGCCCCTTTTCGGGGATTTTGCAGCCGAGAAAAAGAGCCAGTTGGAGCTGCTGCGTGTGATGAATAGCAAAAAGCCTCAGCTGGACGTGACGAGGGCCACCAATAAACAGATGAGGGAGGAGGACCAGGAGGAGGCGGCCAAGAGGAGGAAAATGAGCCAGAAGGGCAAGAGAAAGGGGGGCCGGCAGGGTGCTGGCGGCCAGAGGAAAGGTGGCCCGCCCAGCCAGGGAGGGAAGAGGAAAGGGGGCTTGGGAGGCAAGGTGAATTCCGGGCCGCCTCGCTTGGGTGGCAAGAGGAAAGGAGGACAACACCGAGGAGGAAAGAGAAGGAAGTAATTTTCATCCTCGGACCCGCCTGTAAACAAAGAACTATACTAAATGTTAAGTTGGGGGGGGGGGGGTTTTCTGCTGCCTTCGTTGAACTTGAGGTTGAAGGGATAGGCTGACCTCCCCCCAAGACAGATGTAAATGTTGGACTTTACAAATGAATGTTTTTCCCACAACCAAGAATTTGGCTGGAGATTAAAGGATGTATTTAAGGACATAAGAATCAGGGAAAGAATTTGGTGGAAACTGGGAACGAGTTCTATTTTTTAAAACACATCTTTTTTCTTTTTAACTTTGAATATGGTGAGAGGGAGAGGAGAGTTGGTCATATTTCAGACTTGTAATTGATGTCTGCATTATTTTTATGACAAGTGTATCAAAGCAGAGGGGGGAACAGAAAGATTACATTTTCAAAACTGTACTTACAAGTAACTGTTAACCAAGGTTATTTAATAAAAGTGTCTGTGTCTAATGCTGCTTTTGACTTTTTGAGTGTTGGTAGGAATCCTAAGTAAAACCAAGGGGATACCTGGTTCAGATTATTTTCATTTACTTTCTAAAAAACATAAAGCAGTTAATTTATGATGATTTCAGTGAGGCTTATTAGGAAAACTCATACTTCTTTTGGTATCAGATATAATATTGAAAGTGTAGTAAAACTGATACCTCTTTGTAAAAAGATTTTATTGCTTTTTTATACTGTGAAAACATTGCCTTGCTGTAAATTATAAATTTGGGCTTCACTAAATAATAGTACTAATCCTCATTAATCCAGAAAATACTTAAATCCTCTTCAACATATATGTCCCCAATTTTTCTTTTAACTTCAGTGGGGTCTGTTTTAAGAAGAGAGAAAGAAACCCACCAAATCTATAATCGGTACGCTGTTATCTTTGATTCATTTGTCAAACTTACCTGGTTTGATGAGGAGGTCAAATGTTGATAGCTATTATGGGTCTTTTTCCCTAATCTCAGTAACTTGTCTTTGTAAAAATGAGTATCTTCTTTAAAGGATTCATAGTAGATCTAGATTCCAGGAGGGCCTTTTTGCTGCTGTTACAGCCCTGTGAGCCACTCTTACTGTTTTTTGGTCTGTCAATTGATAGGAAATTAAAGTTGGGAGTTCATTTTGTCTTTTTTTCCAGGGTTGCCTCATTTTTATAAGTTACCTTTAGAAATTGCTATGGAAAAAAAGCAAATTTCATATTCCAAATTTCATAATATGTAACAAAAATTTCAAAATTCATAATACATTAAATTTCAAATTTCATAATACGTTACTTAAAACACAGATGTCCAATTGTTACTATCTTAGGATACTTTGCCATCAATGATCAACTCTTCCACAGGGACATGAAGCACTTGGCCCTGCTAAGCCACAGAGTACATTGAAATCCTGGCAAGTTTGCAACTACTGATGAAATCATTTAATGGTACATTAACTTCACCACAAGCCAAACTTTTCATAGAGCACTTAACATCTTTTAAGTTCTCAACCGTCCAGGGTATGTTGTTATTACTGTTTTGTTTGGGGATTTTTCTGGTTTTTTGTTTTTCGACTTGATTCAGCAGTCAGACACAGAACTGGCCCTGTAAGAGAGAACCCTTGGTGGGCTTTTTGCAAGGTCCTTATTTACTATTAAAACAGTTTAAATGCAGTGTCTTAATAATTTATTAGGAAAACACTTTAGGAAGGCAAAGTAGCATTTTAAAGGAATCAGTGGAAAAAGAATGCCCTTGTTTCTCTCCCTTACCCTACGTCCCCAACATGTGAAATAAAGGGTTTTAAGTAGAGAGACTTATGGAAGTACCCAAGATCCTACAGAGAAGTTACCTTTACCGCAATTTCAGAGGTGGATGGTGGGACTGCAGCTAAGGCAGCGGAGATTTTGACTCGTGGGAAAACGGTCCTGATCCGAAAAGGGCTAATGCTGTGACAGGAGACTTAGCTGAGGGGATAGGCAAGCTCGGCCGAGTGGGCGGGAACAGTAAGGCGGCGGCCAGGATTGGCCAGTGGAGGGGGTGGAGGGGTAGGAGGAGGGGCTGGCTACTGAGGAGACCCCACGGCCATGGCTGCAGCCACTCGTGCCCGGGTCGCGCACTTGTTGAGGCAACTGCAGCGAGCAGCGTGAGTGCGGGGCGGGAAGGCGGGGGGCCAGAGGATGCCTGCGTGCCCATGCCGGGGGCGAGCCACCCGGGCTCCACGTGTTCTTCCTCGGGTTACTTACAAGAACCTGGGGTAGGGTATACTGCTGCCTGCACCCGCTCCGCGTCAGAGCCGTGCGCCCGGTGGGACAGCATTGTCACAGGGTGCCAAGCAGCCATGCACAGCGCGGTGAGGCAGGTTGTACCCTGCTAGGGCTACGGTAAGGAAACAAAGGCCCGGAGAGGTCAGTGCCTGATCCCATGTCGTGGCAAACATTGGAGGTCTTGACACAGTGGACAAAAGACACATTCATGTGTCCAACCAACACATTTGTACTGGGTGTATGTTACATGCCAAAAACTATTCCAGGTGCTGGGGATACAAAGGCGAAAGATTCTGGAGCAGTTTAAAGTCTAGCAGGCAATTGGATGAAGGAACAGGGTTTGTGAAATGGGCCTGTGGGGAACTCAGGGGACAGAGAACGTAGAAGAGAAAGATGGCTGTGTGAAATCACCAGGAGCTTCACTCCCTGGCATGTACAGGCAGTCAAGGTATTAAATGTTATGACATGTCTGACTCCCCCTCCAGAAATTCCAGGTGTATAGTAGCCACCTGATAAATCCTTGTGGAATGTGCAAATGCACAAGTCAGCCTGGGAAAAACATGTAAAATTTTGAGCCAATAGGTAGAGGTAAGGGGAAAGGAGAGGGATTAGAGAGGAATTTCAGACAAACTGCAAAGAGCAGCCCCTTTGGCAAGAGATGTAGTTCCAGGAGCTAAAAGTAGTTAAAATCTGGACCTAGTTTCATAGAAGGAGATGAGAATGGAGAAGACCCACCCTGAATAAGAATATAGCATTTATCAGGCACTTACCATGTGCCAGGCACTGCCCTACAGGTTTTACATGTACTATTAATAGTAACTGTAATCCTTAGAACAACCCTATGCCAGACTGTATTATTATCCTCATATTACATATTAAAAAAAATAAAAGCATGAAGAAAAGGAATTTGTCCAGTTTCACACAGCTAAGCAAACGGCACAGCCATCATTTGAGCCCAGATATTCTAGCTTCACAAGTCCTTGTTTTTAGTCCTACGCTAAAGAATTTGAATTATGTCCTATAGATACCGAAAGCTATGGAAGCAATAGTTCTCATTGTGAACCACTAATACTTTGAGATGCCCCATGGAGGGGAAAAAATTCCATGGCCAAATAAATGGGAAACTGTTCTTTGCTGCATAGCGCTTTTGGAGAGTCAGGATAATTAGCACACGAAAGGCTCTGAGAAGTCCTACAGGATATAAAAAAATAGTTTAAACTCTTTAAACTAGTGTATTTAAACTCTTTGTTCTAAATCTGTGTTATCATAAAAATCTTTCTAACAAGGAACACCATTCATATCCTTTGGAACCAGTGTCATGTAGAACATGTTTTTGGAATGGTTGTATGACAAAGGAGTGTGGCATGATTAAAATCATGTTCGAGCTTTCTGGTGGCAGTGTACAGTGGAGAGGAAAGACTAGAAGTAGTTGTAATGCTCCAGCTAAAAAGTGATAGCTTCAGGTACCAAAGAGAGGCAGTTGGTACAAGGAGTAGATATGAGAAATATTGAGGAGTCGGTTAAAATCAGCAGGATTTTGGATCTGATTAGTGAGATGGAAGGAGAAGTTGAAGTTTCTGGCTGGGGTGCAGGTACACATTAGGGCCATTTACCAAGATGGGAACTAGAAGAAGCCTAGCTTTAGGAGGGAAATGATAACTTCCCTTAGGATTTCAAACTGAACATCCCTCATAAGTCCAGACAAAGACCTCCAGCAGGTAATTGACTATATAGTTCTGGAGCTGAGGAGCAAGTAGGAACTCACCCATGTGTATAGAGGACTGTACAGAGGATGTGGAAGCAAAGTCCTTGGCAAACTGTAAACCTAGATGGGTTGAGAATAGGTCCTAGGGAGCAGCATTGTTAAGGCAGAGTAGCAAAATGGGGCTTTTTTTTTTTTTTAATAGGGTAAGCATTTAAAATGTGGGAGATTTCAGATAAAAATTTTAGAAAACTAGGAATGGCATCTTTGGGCCCACATTTCATCTGGGGAAAGTCTGCTAAGTCTGAGGTGAAGTGGGGGCCACCTCCTTTGAACAGGGCAAGCCCTCCAGCTTCCTGAGAGGCCCTGGCATGCAGTCCACCACTTCGCACAGCAGCTGCACAGCCAGCCAGCAGCCTCTCATTTACATTATCTGCCATCCTCCTTAGGCGCTTGGGGTTGCAAATGATTTACACTTCGAATGAAGGAAAAGGAGCCAGCATTAAAGGACAGGAACATAGCCAGACATATAGGAGAGAAAGACTGTACCTCCACTGCTGATTTGCAGTGTTCTCATCCCTGGGGTACAGCAGGAAACAAAACAGCCTAATATCCCTGGTGCTTAAGTGCAGAGGTGGGGCAGGTAGAGTGAACAACAGACTAGTAAAGTTTACAGTATATTACATGTTACTTAAAGAGAAAGTAAAGGAGGATGGGTTAGAGGAAGGGATGCAATTTTAAAGAAGATGGTCAGAGAAGACCTCACTGTACTGGTTTCTTATTGCTGCTATAACAAATTACCGTGAACTTGGTAGCTTAAAACAACACACATTTATTCTGTTACAGTTCTTAAGTCCAAAATCAGTTTTACTGGGCCAAAATCAAGGTGTAAGAGGGCCACAGTCCCTTCAGCTGCTCCAGAGGAGAATCCATTATCTTGTTCTTTCCAGCTTCTGGAGATGCACTTCTTGCAACCTTAGATTATAGCTCCTTCCTCCATCTTAACAGCCAGCAATGTAACAACTTGCTTCAGTGGTCACATTGCCTTTATGTCAAATCTCCCTCTGCCTCCCTCTTAGGACAATGCTTCTGATTACACTTAGGGCCCACCCAGATAATCCAGGATAATCTTTCCATCTCAAAATCCTTAATATAATCACATCTGTAGGGTCCCTTTTGCTTTATAATGTTAACAGGTTTCAGGGATTAAGACCTGAATATCTTCCAGGTCTCAGCCAACCACACTCACTGAGAAGGTAACTGTTCTGGAAAGATCAGTGGAAGGAAGGAGTGAGCCATGTGGCTCTCTGGGAAGGTACATGGAGGTTGAGAATACCTGACATGGTTTCAGAACATGACGACTGGAGAGGAGTGAGGGGGAGGTAAGGTCAGAGTTGTTGGGGGCCAGATAGAGAAAGCCAAGGAGGAGTACAAGGTTTTTTTGCCCTGATCAATCGGAAGGATGAAGTTACCATTAAACTCGGGTGGGGAAGAGGTTTTAAGGGAAGACCAGGAGCTGAGTCTTAGGCAGGTAAATATGAAATGCCTAATAGACATTCAGGTGGAGATGTCAAGTAGGCAGCTGAATCTGGAATTCAAGCAACATGTCTAAATCAGACAAAGGTGGAAACCGTCAGTATGGAAGGCATTCAAGACCATGAGACAAGGTGAGGTCACTCAGGGAGAGAGTGTGGGAAGCAAAGAGCATTCAGAGTCAATAGCATGAAAAGAAACTAGGCCAGGAGCAGCCTGGAAGCCAAGGGAAGAAAGTATTGTCAGGGAGAAGAGAGTGGACAGGAGGATACCACTGATAGGTTGGGTAAGATGAGGACTGAAATGAGAACTGAGTGATATATTAGTGGGGTGAAAGGCATTAGTGACCTGGTAAGCTTAGACAGTAGAGTCATGGAGCAAAGGCCAGTTGGAAGAAGTCCCAGAGAGAATGGGAGAAGAGAAATTGGAGAGAGCATGTATAGTCAGCTAAAATCAAGAAGAGAGGTGGGGGCGACATCAGGAGAGGGAAGAGGGACAAGTGAAGGTTGTTGTGAGTATAAAACAGGAAAAATAATATTTTATGCTGATGAATAAGATCTATTGAGAGGGAAATTTTGATGATGCAGGAGAGAGATGATGCACTGCTATCCTTGAGTAAATGAGGGAGGCTGAGAGTCCACAGGAGAGGAACTGACCTTTGCTGAAAGCTTGGCTAGTTTATCCTGGCCAGTGATACCAGGAGGAAGGCCAGAATAATCAGGCCAGAGCCAAAAGGCAGGTAGATGAGAGCCTTGCTCTAACTGTGGTTTCCTCTGCCTCTCAGGAGGAGGAGAGAAGCCCACCAGTGGTTTCAGACTATCCGAAGAAAGTGGGGGAACCCACAATGTATTCTATTCTCCTTACCCCATGTCAGGTTCTGTGTCTTGGTACACAGGAAAAGAGAGAAGAAGCTAAGAGGATTTTAAATGTCTACATTTATTTATTTCTTCATTTACTCGTGCCTTCAGTCAGTATTTCTTCAATCAGTATTACTTTGTGCCTGGTACAATGGTAGCCACTGCAAATAAAGTCATGATCAAGGGAGATCTTATCTTGCAACCACAAAATTTACAATGTAGAGGCAGATGGAAACAGGAGAATGGTGCCAAAAATACATGTGATAACAGTTCTTCTGGGGAGGGAGGTGTGGTACAGACCACAGAGAGACAGTACCTACCTGGGGCCTCCAGCCCTAGGGAAGACTGACCAGGGGAAGTGACATTTGCACTGACACTAGAAAGGACACTAATTACCCAGAAGAAGAGGGGAAGATATGTTCCAGGAAGAGGAAATAGCAAGCACAAAGTTCAGTTCTGGAGGCAAGAAAGAGAATGTGTGGCCCATTCAAGGAAAAGAACAAATTTTCTTTTTTTTTTTTTTTTTAAATTTTTTTTTTCAACATTTATTTTTGGGACAGAGAGAGACAGAGCATGAATGGGGGAGGGGCAGAGAGAGAGGGAGACACAGAATCGGAAACAGGCTCCAGGCTCCGAGCCATCAGCCCAGAGCCTGACACGGGGCTCGAACTCACGGACCGCGAGATCGTGACCTGGCTGAAGTCGGACGCTTAACCGACTGCACCACCCAGGCGCCCCAGAAAAGAACAAATTTTCAAGGAGCTCCAGAGATGGAGCAAGATGAGAGGCCAGGATAGAGAGATTAGCTGTACCAGTGAGGATGCCCAGAGGGCCATGTCTGAAACAGGGCGGTGGGGGGGAGTGGGGTTTGAGTGATGAGGAGAGGGGTCATCAAAGTACGTTTAAACAAGGGAGTGACATCACTGGAAATAAGCCCCTGACCACTGTGTGGCAAAGGTGGAGCCAAGAGAAGCCTGTTAGGAACTCTGTAGTTATCCAGATGAGAGATGACACTGAAACCAGAGATTGGCAGAGGACCCAAGAGAAGTGGATGGATTTGGGTAAAGAAATATTTGAGGCCTTGATGCGTGGTTTGCCATAGAGGTGAGGTGTGAGCCCAGTATAGAAGCCAACATTTAAGGAATGGGGAGGGTGGAAAAAGAGCTGCAGAAAGAATAATTAGTGGAAGCCCAAGTGAGTAGGGAGTCCTGAAAGCCGAGAAGAGCACTTTGCCCACCTGAGGAGAATGTGGTCCACGGTGTTCATTGCTAGGAGAGCAAGGTGCTGAGGGAGTCTAAGTGAGGGTACAGCAGAAGCTGGAACTTGTTGAGACAGCAGCCAGATTTCAGGGGGCCAAGCAATGTGTGGGAGGCAAGAAAATGGAGCCAACAGATGTATGCCAGAAGGGGAGACCCAGAGGGTGAGCAAGCCAGAGGGGGACAAGAGGTTGAGACCTTTAAGCATGAAACTCTTAAATATGATGACAAAGATTGAGTGAGGAGGAAGACCAGGAAATACTGGACAAATGGAGGTCCCAAGAAGGGAGGAAGGGATGGGATTCAAACCATAAGTAAGAAGTAGAAATGATTAATCAAGGTAGCCTCAGAACCTTAAAAACAAAATAAAAAGAAGTGGGAAGGGTATAAGGAAGCATGTGTTCCCACGGTAGTGGGCATTGGAAAGTTTTGAGTCTGGCTGTTTTCTTCCCTTTGCCTCTGCTTCCTTGTCCTTGGAGGGGGTAAAGCAGGGAAAGTTCTCCAAAGTAAAACCCACCTTTGACGGTCAACAAAGTTGGCCTTGCCCACTTTGATTTCCCTGCAGCAGCCTGAGGATTGCTCACCCCACTGGGATGCTCCCGGGACTCTCCACCACACTGGACGTTTTCAGCCGTGTCCAGGAGGTGGCAGGCTTGACTCATGGTAGTGCTCTCACCACGTCCCAGGTCAGCTTTGACTTAAGTCTGTCTCAGAGGTCTTGAACACTATTGAGCTCAGCACTTTTCCTTTCTTCCCCATCTTCCCCCTCAGATGTTTTTGCTCCAAATTTTAAGGGGGAACAAGGTAGTTGGGGGGGCATACATTCACGTATCTGTTGGGATCCCACTATGACAAGATCCTCTGGCAAGAAATAGAAACATTAAAAAAAAAAAAAAAAACACCTTATGCGACACTCAAATGCATAAGCGAACAGGAGGAAGGGGGACTGTCCAGGAAATAGGAGGCAACCAGGATTGGGAAGGGACACGGAGCCAAGGGTAGAGAAGTGGACTGGGAACTGAGATAAGGTGAGGGATTCGGGGAGGAGAGGGTGATGGGCATGAGCACACTTCAGGCTGCTGGGGAGGGGGTGACACAGAGGGAACCAGCACGAGGCGCCCAGGGGCTGGCAGGTCGCTGGGGCTGGGAGGAGGAAGGATGGAAGCAGTAGGTGGTGACCTACTGGTGGCCTGCAGGCAAGTGAGGGCTTCTCATAGGGCGGGGTCCAGAGCCAGTTTCAAGAAAATTAAACACCTTGAAGACAATGGGGAAATACAAGTTCGAGTTCCCCCGGGGTAGGGGGAATGGGAGGGGAGGCACAGTGCGTAGTTAACCTACTCAACTAACTTGAGCAGTCAATTTGATCAAGCACCTAACCTAGTAAAAGAGCTGACACCTCACAGAGCACTGAGACCCCATCTCAAACTTAATTGTATCTCCAGAGGGCTTATCTTAGCTCCCTGCAGACATTTATTAAGTACCACTTGAATACTTCTTGAAAGAAGGATCCCGCAACACCGGAAAAATCCTGAGTCAACTTTTTTGTCCATGATGATTTCTGGGTTTTCCTATGTAATGTTTGCCAATAGCTACTGTTTTGACAGCATCTTAAGACTAGAATGTAGTGGGGGGTTACATTAAAGCTTCTTCTCTTGCTTTTCTATTTTCACTTTTTTTTTTTCTTTTCCCTAGATGCCAGTGCCCTACTCATTCTCATACTTACTCCCAAGGTAATAATATATTTTGTGTTTTTAAACTGGCCAAAATTTCCAATTTCACCCCCACACTCCACCCTTTGACACTCATATTACATTTAGGCAAAGGATAAATCAAGAAAATCAAGGGATATGAGAGGAAAATTGAAGTGGTTGCCTTTTCACTTGCAGTTGGTAATAATGTAGTTCTAATTATATGATGGTAGCTGAATGCATGCTACTGATTATATGTTTGGCTTAAGTATATATTTAATACTATTTATGCTGTTTTTCTATTTCAAACAGAATTCTTTGCCAAAGCTACAAATAAGATTTGTATAAGCTTTGTGCTTTGTAAAAGCACAGATAAGATTTTAATACTGTCTGAGTCAATCAAACAGAATTAAGATGAAATCTTTGGAAGGTTTTAATTTATCTCAAAAAAGAAAGAGGCTAAAGAACAAAGCAGTTCCTAGAAGGAAAAAACTTGTGTCTATCATTTTTTTAAAACTAACATTCTATTTCTTAATAATTAAAAATAATGACTTAAGTTTTCAGTTCCCACAAATGTCTTAATCCTTACCAACACCATTGTCCACAGAACAGCAGGAAGCTCATTGTAGCTTCAGCGTATCCTCAGAACGTCACATGAATTACTGACACAAAAACTGATTTCACCTCGTAGAAGAAAAGGTCAAATCTAAAGGGCACCGTAAGAATGGAAACGAGGAGGCCTGCCCATACGGGAAACTAAGCAGAACCCACAGAGAAGCCTGTTGGGGAATAGAACAGATAGAGTAACTAACTGAAGGCTTTTTCCTGCCACTGGTGTTGCTCACCATTTAGAATAAAATAAGCCAAGGGACCTCCCAGTCATTAAGGACCTACTAGGTGAAAGCTTGCCCAGCCTTTTAGGTCCTAAGGGACATATGCAGAATTTTGTCTTCAAGCTGGTTTTTTCCAATTATTAGCTGATTTCAACAAAGAATTAGTAGTTTCCTATTTGGAAGAATAAAATTAATAATTTAAAGAAAGATAACCTCGCTGTTTTCTAACATTTGATTTAGGTCTTTTTCTAAACTTCAGTAGCAAGAGTAATAGGTTATTTCTTTAAAGTTGATGAGGATCAAAGAAATTTGAATTTTAATTAAGGATACCCTTGCTCTTGGGAAGCCAAAAGTAGACTGTCGTCTAGTGTAGTCTCTTTTCCTTAAAAAAAAAAAAAAGGCAGTAAAAATTGTTGTGTAGACTTTTTTTCACTCTTATGCCTACCCAAGAGTGATAAAAATCAGTGGATTAAAACAAGGCTAAGACTCATTAAGTGTAGCCTTCTTGTTCTAACACAACAGGAAATCATTTCTGCCATAACCAAAACCTGATACATTACAAAGAAATATCAGTTTATAAAAATTTTTATTAAATTTCACAAAGAAAACTAAAATTTCCACATGGGTTCACTTGAAAAAATGTAAATATCTTACTGTGATAATTTTTTCCATGGAAAAACTTTAAATTCAAACAACTGATCACAGCTGTTATAAGAAGTATAAGCAGGACTCTAATTAATGAATTTACTAATAGTTGTTCTCTAACAGTAACCCAACTCTAGCATCTAGATGGTTTTTCTTTTCTAGAGGGTTTTTACACCTTGTTTCAAAAGTATATTTTAACTTCAATGAAGAAAATATTTTTAATAACTTTATTGTCACACAATCAGCATCAAGTTAGCATTACAGTCTCTTAAAATGCAGGTTTTAATTCCAATTTGATATGAAACCTGAAACAATGAAACCTGAAAATATATTTTAGTTAAGGCTTTTTAAGGGAGATGCTTATGTTCACTGGCAAAATACCAATTTACTATCAAATAAAAACATTTTTGCTTTGTTTTTGAGGCTTACGCTGATGCTGTTTTCTACATTTCTAGCTCTTGGACTTGCACCTTCTGGGAAAACAACAGATTATGCCTTTGAGGTAGATATAATAAGTCCATTCTTTCCTTTAGGAATGACTTGAAAAAATACTCCAGTATTTTGCTAATGCATTATTGTCTCTTTTGAAATCTGCTATTAATTGATGTTCCCTAATCTCATTATTTGATCAGACCCTATTTAGAAAAGTACTTTGTTGGGGTAATGGAATATAAATCTTCTGATAACATGAGTAATGTCTAAAATACGGTCTTTTGTTCAGCCATCAAAATAGGACAAATTCCCAGGGCACCTGGGTGGCTCAGTCAGTTAAGCATCCAGCTCTTGATTTCGGCTCAGGTCATGATCTCTCACTTCCTGAGATCAAGCTCCATGTGGGGTTCTGCGCTGATAGTGTGGAGCCTGTTTGGAATTCTTTATCTCCTCCCTCTGCCCCTCCCCTGCTCGTGCTTGCCCTGTCTAAATAAATAAATAAACAAATAAACAAACGTGAAAAAATTAAAAGAAAAATAGGACAAATTCCCAGTTCTACAAACTCTCTAGCTTATATACATTGTATGTTATATCTTCTTTAGTTTTATAACAATCCCAAAAGAGAACCAAGTAATCTTTTGAAGCAAAAGCAAAGGAGCAATGAATTCTGATGAATTTTTATCACACTACAATTATATAATCACTTGTTTTTATCTCTGTCCCCTCCTAGTTCAGGAGCCATAAGTTAAAATGAAGGCCACCCTAAGAAATATACACTTTATTCTCTACACAATAAGGAACCATTCATTTCATTCATAGTTTTTAGAAATGAAATGGCCAATCCTCTAACACACCCTATACCTGAATCTTTTTTTTTTCAGATGGCCGTTTCAAATATTAGATATGGAGCAGGAGTTACAAAGGAAGTGGGAATGGCAAGTATTTAAGAATTCCTATAGTCTTCCACTATAAATGTTATATATCTTTTAAAACAAGTACAAATTGACAACAATTGAGTCCTTTGTTTCGAAAAATGTACAATGTTAAGTTTACCAGAGAGAGAGAGAGAGAGAGAGAGAGCCTATTACAGTTCTAGGGCAATCAAACCTAACTTATAAATTATTTTTGTTATTGTAGGACCTACAAAATATGGGTGCTAAAAATGTTTGTTTGATGACAGACAAGAACCTCTCCCAGCTCCCTCCTGTACAAATGGTTATGGATTCCCTAGTGAAGAATGGCATAAATTTTAAGATGTATGATAATGTGAGAGTGGAACCAACTGATAGAAGGTATATTTTATTGTTGTTATTTACTTTATGTAGAAGCCAACACACACCACTGTTGCTTAAAGTTTGCCCCAAGTCTTGTTTAATGGCACGGCAACTTATTTCTGAAAAAATATGACATAATGGCTTTTATTTTCCCTTCTCCAAGCTTCATGGAAGCTATTGAGTTTGCCAAAAAGGGAGTTTTTGATGCCTACGTTGCTGTCGGTGGTGGCTCCACCATGGACACCTGTAAAGCTGCTAATCTGTATGCATCTAGCCCTCACTCTGATTTCCTAGATTATGTCAATGCCCCCATTGGGATGGGAAAGCCTGTGTCTGTGCCTCTTAAGCCTCTGATTGCAGGTAAAAATTGTTTGTTTGTTTGTTTGTTTGTTTGTTTGTCTGGCTGTTTTATTTTGCAGTTGGCAAAAGGCCTTAGGAAAGATACAAGCCAGGGATTTTAGGGTATATGTTTCCAAAGCTTTCTGATTTCATCATTTCAGTGCACTACATTGTTTGGAGAACAGAACAGATATCAATTCATTTATGTTTACAATTCTGATCTTCATTATTGTACAGATAGAGACAATTTGGGTCAGTGTAGGAAAGTTTGCAGATTTATGCTAGGAAGTCACTGTATGGAGGAGGGGGGAAGGTTATCATTTCTATATTATTAGATCCCTCTATTGGCAGGTTTGTCTTTTAAACCCCTCTCTGCTTTGTCCCATTTTGCCAGCCACTGTGGAGTTTAAGGGGAACATTCGCTATTATTTTTCTGGTGTTGACTCAACCCTTTCTTCCACACAATGGCTCTTCAGCTGACCTGGGGCTTTGTCTCTGCCCTGGGACATGTGGCCAGCAAGGCTGCATCACTCTGGGCAACATCTGCTCTGTGGCTGTGCTGGGGACAGACATGCATGCAAATCCAGATCAGAATAGCTTGTCTGTCCCACACAGACCTTAGGATCTTTTGGTCTTTTCTTTCCTCCCATTTTATGGGTGTTAGCATATTACTGTGTAAAGTCTTATAGTTAAAATGCACTAACTGGTAACTGGAAAATATCTGTCTCAAGTTTTGTCCTTTTTCTTCTCCCTCCTGTCTGCCCCTACTGCGAATGGGCCTTGTGATGGTATAGGAGTAAGTTGAAGGCAGATGAACTGCTTTGACATGAATGAGCAATCAGCAGGGAGCAACATAATTGATGTCTGCAAAATGGAACCCTCTAGTGAAACTGTGTCAGCATCACACAGAGGGGTGATTAGTAAAGTTTAGAAACTTGACAGAACTACAAAACCACGGAGCCCAGCAAAGGCAGAGCATTACTGTGCTTGCTGCCAAGAGGGAATAAAGATGTCTTTTAGAAAAGGCGAATATGAGTTTTCTAACCAGAGATGCTGAGCAGCTTGTGTTTGAATACCCGGCTGCAGCTGCTAAAGTTCTGTTGCTCGAGTTCTCAGAGTTCCTAGCTGTTTATACAGAAACAGACATCACACATACAGGTTAAATATACACACATGTTAATATAGACATGGACACTGTACATACATGTTAGGTGTAGGTACATGTTAGCACAGGCACTGATTTCATACATGTGTGTTAATACAGATATAAGTACCACACATACTCATTAAAGGGGGCAATTCACGTTAGCTATGCCTACATGTTATGCAGACATGGACACGATGCATGTTAAACATGTGTGTGTATTAATGCGGATGGTGCCATCACATCCACATGTTAAACATGCACGTTAATGCTGACAGGCATACTATTATGCATGCATGTAAATGCAGGCACCCTTATACATGTGAAGCATACATGCTTATTAATATAGATACAGACATCAGGTGAGCAACAGACACAGCAAAGCTTCCTTCTCTAACTTTGCTCCTTGCTTCCCAAGGCTGAATTAAGTATCTCCACTGACCTTTATTTAGAAGCATTATTTAAATTGGTATTATTTTGTTTGAGTCCCAACCACCTCAGGAACTGGGAGTGAAACTACAGGAGTTGCCATCTTTGACTACGAACACTTGAAAGTAAAAACTGGTAAGAACTTTGCCCGTAACTTTTTTAAAAATTCTCTCTCTTACCTTTCAACCCCACCTCCTTTTCTTTAATCTTAATATTTAAAAATCAAGGAGTTATAGAGTTAAGGGGAGGGTTATGTGTATACATACACATTTTATTTCTCTCTTATTTTTTATTTTTGAGAGAAAGAGAGCATGAACAGGGAGGTACAGAGAGAGAGGGGGGCAGACGATCTGAAGTAGGCTTCATGCTGACAGCAGAAGCCTAATGCAGGGCTCAAACTCAGGAACCAGGAGATCATGACCTGAGCCGAAGTCAGACACTCAACCAGCTGAGCCACCCAGGTGCCCCTACACGTTTTCTTTCTTTTTCAAAGTACATATAAACTATGAAACAGTCCAATAGACTTCTTTCTGAGAATTACCTACAAAATTATATTGAAATGCCATAATCTTGATTGGCCATTTTTCGGCCGAAGTTAGTAACTGTATGTCGGTGGTAAATGATTATTCCCTTTCTTGGACATCTTTTCTACACTTTAAATCAATTTCATTGAGATACATTTTTTAAATGCATCTTTTTTAAATTATGTATAAAATGCATACATATTAATTGTCAGTTTGATGAATTTTGACAAATAGATACACCCATGTAACCACTACCCCAATCAAAATAACAAAACATTCCCATCACTCCTGAAAGGTCCAGAGGTCCCAGGCCTTTGTAGCACAATAAATTGATATTCAACTGCACATTTACAGTAACTTCTCTTTTTAAAATTAAATTACATTATCCTTTGACATTATTAAAGATAATAGTAGCCAATACTTAAATTCTACCTTACAGTTTTTCTAAGACTTTTACATCCTATTTTCTAATGTGATCCTTACAACAGCTATGAAGGATAGAAGCCCTACATTGTCATGAGCTAATCTAACAAAGAATTCAGACTAAATGACTTGTCCAAAGATACATAGTAAGTTGCAGAATGATGACACAAACCGGTGGTGTGCTAGTAAACCAGCCCTTGGGAATTTACTCAGCAACTAAACACTGATTTGTAGTACTGGCCAATTTCTTTGGTGTATAATACTCCCACCATAGCCAGTGGCATCATTCAACCCAGAGTTGGGAAGAAATGCACATACTCAACTCTTTCAAACCAGAAGGAGCTTCAGACCCACTGTAAAACCCAGGTTTCTGGCTCCAAATCTCTTTCCACTGGTCTTGCTGCCTCCCTTCATGAGAATGAATCTCATCTCATATTTTTAATTTTTTAAGAATAAATTGTTATCCTAAAGTAATCTAATTTTTTTAAATGGTGTCCATACCTAGAACCTCTATTGAAAATCCCTGTCTTAGGCATTGCTTCCAGAGCCATCAAACCCACGCTGGGACTGATTGATCCTCTGCACACCCTGCACATGCCTGACCGGGTGGTCGCCAACAGTGGCTTCGATGTGCTTTGGTAGGTACTAGTGCCATCTGGAGGGGCTTCTCCAGTTCCTGGGTCTATGGACAGTATGGATAGTGCTTTCTTGCCAAAAGCACTTGCTAAGCATTCATTGGTTAGTGTTCCACAACAACCCCAGCTTTGGTTCTCATTATTCCCTTCCCTACTTGAAAACATGGAACCTATAAAGGTTGGTGACCAGGTGAGCTCCTGGGTGCGCCATAAAGCTGCTGTTCAGGATTGACCATTCCAGCCACAGCTGCAGCCACAGGGACACAGTGAAAGGAGCAGTTGGAGCTGGCATGCAGCATCTCAGACCCACGATGCCTGCCTCTATGGCTACACGAAGCAGGAAATGCCCAGGGCTGCCACACTGTGGAAGAGGGCAGGAAAGGGAGCTAATGTTTCCCAAGCTGGACTGTGCTCACCGTGTCAGCACTTTACACACCACCACTTCACCACAGCTCTGTGCTATACGAAAAAGAAACCTGGCTTTGAGATGTTTAGTAACTTCCCAGAGCCATACTGCAGGCTCTCTTGACCTCAGCTGCAATGTGCTGATGGATCCCTGAGCAGTGTTCCTTCCAGCAGCTTCACAGAGACGCACAGACACTTCACGTTCAGCATGTCCTGAGCTGCCTATTTCATCCACTTGCACATGCACATTTTTTTTCACATTTTAACATATCTAAACTCAGAACACATCTTAAAATCTGTGGCATGCCAGTATGGTTTTCTTCCTCAGTGGTACTATTTTTTTTAATTGTATATCTTATAATGGATGACATCTTAAATTTGATGAAATCTGATAACTATCTAAACCCCCCACCCCCACCCTCACAGCCTCTCCTCCCGAGTCCCTTAACTTAGCAGCAGTCCCTTAACTTCTTTCTCATGCCCACACACAGCTGGTATTTCCTACCACTTATTCCGCTTGAATCTCTCTCCTGTCTGCTCCCTCCTCTCGAGCCTCATTACTTCCGCCATGGTTCAGACCTGTCCAGCTCTTGCTTGGACAGTTGCAGTAGTCTCCTCATCAGTCTCCCTGCTTCCACCCTCTAGTCCTTCTATCTGTTCTCCATACTGGCCTTAGCAAGTTTTCAGAATGCAATATAACCATCACACATCTACATGCATGCACACACACATACACATACCTCTACCTGACAGGTCTTTCAGTGGCTTTCCACTTCTACTGCCTGAAGGCCACATTTGGCCCTGGAATGTCCCCAGTGCTCAGCCGTTTATCTGCTTGGAGAATTTATCTTCCAATTCCACTGGAGCATTCTTGCCTTGATGGAACCTTTGGTGACCTTCCCCATTCCTTTCCTGAAGTACAACTGACCACTCCATTCTTTACTCTTCCCCACTGGGTGGCCTAAACATTCTTTCTGAGACACCTCCATTTCACACGCCCATCTCCTTCACTGCACTGTGAGCTTGATGAAGACAGGACCATCTTATTCACTTCTCCATCCCTGCCCCTTGGCACAGTGACTGTCACATCATAGGTATTCAGTTAATATCTCTCAAATAAAATTCACACAAGCAGGAGGTGGCAGAGTTAGGATTCACACCCAGGACTACCCAAGTCCATGGTCTGCTTTTCTCACTGTATTACATTGCCTGCCAAGAAAGTGGAGAGAAGGATTTACAGCTGACCCCAGGATCTGTGTTCTCACCACTGCAGCATACTCTTAATAGGAGGCTTGTGTAACTATGACCCTCCTTGAGTAATATGGTATTTGATCAAATACAAGAGATAAAATGGTAAATATATTTTAAAAGGAAATCATTTTTTAGATTCAGTGCTTTTCCTCATGACTCAAATATTTAAAAATTCAACATCATGAAGATTTATTTGCACAAGAAAAGAGTAATATGTAATCCAGTAATACACAATGGTCAAAAAACACTATAGTGCTATTAATGTAAACTTCACTGTGTCAACTTCTATAATAAGTAATGACTATTGTAGGCCAGAGTCTGGTGGAATGCATTGTGATTATCACTACTACATAGCACATCTGTAGCGGAGTCAGTACTGAACAAGAGAGTTTGTAACCTGAATGGAGGGGAAAAATGAAGAAGATACTTTCAATCTGTGTATTTTCAATATTTCTTGTTAGCCATGCCCTGGAGTCCTACACTGCCCTTCCCTACCACATGCGGAGCCCCTGCCCTTCAAATCCCATCACCCGGCCAGCATACCAGGGCAGCAACCCAGTCAGTGACATTTGGGCTGTCCATGCACTACGGATCGTCGCTAAGTATCTGAAGAGGTATGTGGCCCAGAGGAGATGGAAACAAAACAGAAAGGGTGCCTGGTTGGGTCAGTCAGTAGAGCATGTGACTTTTGATCTCAGGGTTATAAGTGTGAACCCCATATTGGGTGCAGAGATTAGTTAAAAATAAAATCTTAGAAAAAAAGGACAAAAAACAGAACAGAAAACCACATTCCACCCTCACATAAAATGTAGCATGACAGATCCTGAAATATCCTGAGCAAGTCTGTTCATGAAAAGATCAGTTTAGTGGACATAGAGAAGCACCAGAGACCAGCAAGCTCTGGAAGGATGCAAAAGTCGGGGAGGGAGACACATGAGGATGGATGAAACCTGGATCCTTCAGTCTGAAAAGGCAAAGGCAAGGGGACAAAATATGAGCCCCTGATTTATGAAGGATGCATATAGAAGGATTATTCATCAAAGCCTCAAAACCAAAGCTAAGGTGAAGGGAGATGTCCTTTGAGAGTTGGTTACATCAAGAGCGGTAATGAGACTCAGAGAGGCAGATGTTGGCTGTGCCCATGCAGGCCCTGTCCAAAGGTACACTGAGTCAACCCATTAAGCAAACTCATATGAACTGAGTTTAAGAAATACATGTGTAGAGTTGTCTGTCCCAGGAGATATAAAAAGCCTCCTAAAAGATTTTGAAAGATTTATGAATGATGTATCCATGATTGGCTCCTAAGAAAGCAAAGATATACTTAGAGATGAAAGCTGATCCCTGAAACATTAGGAACTATGCAAAATCAGACTCACTTCTGTACTTATACATAATGGAGGGAAAGAACACAGCAGTTTGGACCTAGATGTGAACATGGTGCTTTATGTGGCCCCTGGTTAGAAGTTGTACTAGAGAGGGAGCTCAAACTGTATTTTGTAGTACAGCAGGGGGAAGGGACATAGAACCATTTCAGGAGACCATCAGAGAGCATGGCAGCATTTCACTGGGTAGATGCAGATCCAGATAATGGTCAGCCAGTGTGTGCGACAGGGACAGAAGGCTTGGCAGAGCATGGTGGAAGGTAAGGGGGTAAAATGGACAGAGGACAAGCTAAAGCCCCATCATCTGCTATTTCATCTTGTTATTCAAGGAATAAGAAACTAACCCCGGTTTGGAAAGGGGCCACAGAAGCCTCACCATTCCAAATGAAAGGAGATAAAAGGCTATAGCACTCTACATAACAGAAACCCTTACTCCAGGCAAAATCAGAAAAAGCAAGCGACAGAGGGTTCATTTGGCAGTTTTCAGCTTCCTCCCTGGGGCAGGGTTTCTAAGCAAGTGTGTATGAGAAGGTTGAGCTCCATCTGCAAGGGGCCTTTGAGAATTTGCTTTTCCAAAGTGGCACTGGGGACATCTAGAGCGAGCAAAGCCTCGTCCTACAATAACATCCCACTTCTATAATGATAAATATTAAAATAACGTGTAGTATCCACAGATACTAAGAGGCCTCCAGAGGGTTCTATTTGGGGTAGTGTCACAAAAAAAAAAAAGATGGCTGAGCAGGCTGTAATTAGCCTGCAGGTAGCCCAAGGCAGCACGGACTCTGAGAAGCAGTCTGAGCCCTATGCATTCTGAGTATATGTTTACTTGAAGTCCATTCACAGCTGCAGTCAAGGTCATTGACAAATGAAGAAGAAGAATGACTCTCAGGGCACTTTTCTAGAGCAGCTCACAGCCCAAGGGTCAGTGCTTTCTTCCCCTGGCACTTTTATCACAGGAGCAGCCTGACAGAGTATTTATTATGCCTTTGCCCAAAACCATTGATGAGAAAATATGTTTCCCTTCAGTTTTCATTTAGAAGACAAGATGTCGTTTGAATAAGTTACCTAATTTTTCTTCCTACTGAGTAGCATTTCTTTTTTCCCCAGATCTTTCCCTAAGGCTGCCCTTTCTTTGTAGGAAATGCCAATGTTGATGTAGATATTTATATCATCCACAGGGCTGTCAGAAATCCTGATGATCTTGAAGCAAGGTCTAATATGCACTTGGCAAGTGCTTTTGCTGGCATTGGCTTTGGAAATGCTGGTGTTCATCTGTGGTGAGCAAATCTGAGACTATATTTATTCACCTAAGCTATTGCTTTTATTTTTAAAATGTTTATAATTTGGGACAGGTGTAAGATCTAAATATGCCATAGAAAGAAGAAATTTAACTTTAGGTACTGGAATGTTTTGTTAATTCAAATGTGATTTGTTGAGTCATAGATTTTTTTTAAGTTTTTCTTTTTAAGTATATTTTACCCCCAATGCGAGGCTCAAACTCATGACCCTGAGATCAAGAGTCACATGCTCTACTGACTGAGCCAGCCAGGTAGCCCCTAAATTTTTTTTTTTTTTTTGGTAACAGCCTTATGGAAATACAATTCACACTTATGGAAATACAATTCACACTTAATGGAAATACAATTCACTATAAAATTCACCCATTTAAAATGTATAATTCAGGGACACCTGGATGGATCAGTAGGTTAAGTGTCTGACTCTTGATTTTGGCTCAGGTCATGATCTCATGGTTCATGACATAGAGCCCTCCCCCACAGAGGCCACTTGGAATTCTCTCTCTCCCTCTCTCTCTGTCCCTCCCTCTCAAAATAAATAAATACACATTTTTTAAAACGAATATTAAGTAACGAAAGCAATGTTTAAAACTGTATGCACATACGATCATAAATTAAAGATATGCATAAAAAGACCCGAAGATGTACTTTATAAGGGTTATCTTGAAGAAATAGGATTACGGATCATTCTAATTTTTACAAGGAATATATACAACTGTTAAAATAAATCGAGGAAAGTCATTCGGTATCATTAAAAAGTTACTTTTGGAAAATACATGAACTCTTTCACTTCAGGAAAAGACACTACGCAATATTTTTCCAAATACTGTGAAGCCTGAGAAAGGTAAAGTACATTCCTAAGTGCCCAGCAATTCAGAGAACCAACAGCTTCTGATCTGTCTCGTGAAGACTAATAGGCAAGGGATACCTTTTTTGATAAGTACTCATACAGTTCACCAAAATACTTCATCTTTCTATGAAATGTAAATCTTTTGGTGAATAACCCCAAAGTCATCTAATAACCCACACAAAAAGACTTACAGACCATTTTACTATTATAAAGCATTTCACTTTCAATATTTTAATTATAAATACATTAACTTCTCACAATATATATATTCTGGGTCATCTAGTAAACTATAATACTGTCCTATTTGTTCGCTAAGAATTCAAGAGGATATAAAGAGGTTTTGTTTTTTTCTTTTTTCATTAAAACAAATTTAAAAAAAGCCACAAATAAAAACCATGGTGCCTTTTCTTGATAACCTTTCAAACTGCAAAAATCATTTATGATCCAACTATGTTAGTATATAACATTTGAAAGGATATATCAATTATTGATGGGACAGATGACTGGCAGGTCAAGCTTGCATATCTAATGCAGCACATCTTGGCTCCTAAAACTCCCACCCACATCATGAGCTTGGGCAGGAACACGCTGCCAAGGCAGTGCAGAGCAAAATAGAAAACACATGCCCTGAAGCTTATTAAAGAAACTTCAAAGTAAATTCTTCAAGATCATCAAGTTAATAATGTGTTTGGGGATCAACTTCTGCATGAACACTTTTTAGTGGCATACAATTCCATGAGCATTTGAATTTGAACATTTCAGAGGTTTTGTTAATGAATACACAAAATGTCCAATGCATAATCATATATTGTTGTATCAAAGAAAACACAATGTGTAACTTTGTGAGATAACTATATGGTCAACAGACCGTGAAGGCTCTCCCATAAAAGTATCTTTGTTTTGTTAACCTGAATTTCTGGTATCCATGTGTCAACATAAGGACTTTCTTTCTTTTCTAGCCATGGAATGTCCTACCCAATTTCAGGCTTAGTGAAGACATACAAAGCAAAAGATTATAATGTGGATCACCCACTGGTGGTAAAAACATAAACTCTTTAATTAAATTTCATATTCCTGGAGCACCAGGGTGGCTCAGTTGGTTAAACGTCCCAACTTCAGCTCAGGTCATGATCTCACTGTTCGTGAGTTCTGGCCTTGTGCTGGGCTCTGTGCTGACAAGCTCAGAGCCTGGAGCCTGCTTTGGATTCTTTGTTTCCCTCTCTCTCTGTCCTTCCCTGGCTCATACTGTCTCTCTCTGTCTCTCAAAAAATGAATGAATGTTAAAAATTTTTTTAATTTCATATTCCTCGCAGTTGCCATAAATGTATTTGTTAAATATATTTGTCAATTCTTGATTGTTTGGAGTATAGGGTAAAGCAATTTAGTATCTAGAAAATGCATGTTGAAAACCAACGTTGCCCCACTGGTCACCACAGTTTGTTTCTCTGCAGCCTCATGGCCTTTCTGTGGTACTCACCTCCCCAGCAGTGTTCACTTTCACAGCACAGATGTCTCCTGAACGGCACCTGGAAACGGCAGAAATATTGGGTATGAACCATGATGCATAAATCTGTGACCCACATATGTGGAGCATATCATAGGGTTGCTTCTGAAGATAATCCAGAAAGGATAATAATACCTAGAAATTTGCTTTGAAATAGCTTAATAATAAAATGTGAGTAACCTACCTGAAGTCTGTCTAGCACTAAAATTCTGTAATTTTGCTTCTATTAACAATGAAATGGAACCAAATATTGCTTATGTTAAATTTGGAGCAATAATATTTCTATTGTTTTCATCCCCAAGAAAAGTGACTCTTTATATACTGTTAATGTTACAACTGGCTTTTGCTATGTTTAGTAGATAATAAAATGGATCTAAATTGGACGTAACAGCACATTCCCAATTATAAAGAATCTAAACAACTAGAAACTTTATAAAAAGATCCCAAAAGAAGAATCTGTTTTGCTGCTCTGTCGAATAAATAATGTCTATAATAAGACACCCACAGTGCTTTTTGAATCTTATAAGAAATAAAATTATATTCAGGATAGCTTTAGTGTTAAGTAAAACTTTTTGGTATTTTTCTAAGATGAGAACTCTTTCAAGTAGACTTTGAGTATTTGATTAACTTTCCAAGCATTTTATTCCCCTACTTGTGTTTAGGGTAGGAAGGGAAAAGCTAAAAAGAAAACTTCATTATGCTCTTCTAGCTCCAGCCGTTGGAGAGGTTATTTCCAAAAAGGTAGGCATGACCACAGATTCCTTCCACGTGTGCTGCTCCCTCCACTTCTCTTTCACACTCTGACGTTTGTGCTTTCACAGAGTTCCAGGTGTTGTGCTGGGAATGCTAATGAGAGAAGCCAGGCTAGAGAAGCTGTGCAGGGGCTTGATTTCCCAGCATGCACTGCTGGAAATATGGCGTCGACCTTCCCAATGATCTTGTTTCTTTTCCCTTTCGGACTGGGGTTTATTTTTCAGCCATTTTGGGGACTCAGATGCCTAGACGCCTTGTAAATATGCAGTGTAAGTAGGAGGGAGCCCAAGTAGTCAGCTACACGTCTGGGAAATGGGAAAGTCTTAGAAAACCTAAAGGTAAATAAAATTCCAGGCAACCAACAACACTACTGTGAAAAGCAATTCTTCTGGTAGACAAAGCTCAGGGTGGAAGAACCTACCAATTCTTCCTCCTTGCATAGGAAGTTTTGTTTAATGTTATTCCATACTTAGCCATCAACTATTTTAATTCCTTGTGTCATCTTAGATTCTCTTAGCTTTATACCGATTTATTCTCTTTCCCACCCTCTCTTTTTTTCTAAAACACTTCACAGGAAAACCCAGAGGCTTTGATGGTGTGTTTTATGGCAGCAATCGCAGGAACATAAAAACCTCATAAACCTTGTATCGTGTGTCACCTTTCCACCTAATCCATATTTCAGCTGCCACTGTGTAATACAGACTGGTCTTGTCAGGCAAGGTTTACCTTCCATCCAGCTGCTCTCCCAACTACCCTTCTATCTGGGTCTATTTATACTTTTTTCCGGATTACTAAAACAGTTCTTGCTGCCATTGAAGAAAAAGGTTAAAACTAATAGTGTGCTTCAGCATGGAGGTAAACTGTACATTCTAGTCTCCTGGTGAACAATACAGAGAAAGTGGACTTAGACTCAACATGAGGCATTTCGGATAATAAATAATGCTACATCTGTTTGTAGAGTGCTTCACTTCCTGGCAGTAAATGTGTTCAGCTAGAATGGAGGGTGGCTGGAGTGCTAAGGGTCTGGACCTCTCACTGCTACCCCTGCCTGAGGGCAGAACCCCTGGCTCGTCCAGACTGATGTCTCTATGATTTCATGTATTAACTATGAATCGTGTCTACATTTTTTCCTTACAAATTTCCAACCCTTGGCAACCTTCTCCCCTCTTCACCAACATCATTATTATCTACATACTAAATACTGTTTTCTCAGAGTCTTGTTCTTGGTTCTGCCTGACTAGTCCTGTAATATTTATTTAGAGTAACCTGCCCTGGCCCTTAAAATAAAAAGTTTCATAGAAATAGAGAGGAAGTATTTCCTCCCCTGGCCACACATAGTCTATTTTTGTCATTTTATTCCTTTTGGGCAGTCAGTGTTGGAGCTTTTGCACTTCAATATATCCTTGCCTCACAAGGTGTTTGCAAAGGGTTTGTCTTCTTTGCCTAAGATGTTGCTGGGAGAAAAGACGTTGAACACATATACCTCTAGATGTCAGCAAATTCCAAGCCTTGATAGTTACATAACCTGTGTTTTCTCCTACGAATGCTCCTGCCTCCTCATCCAAACACCAGCCTTCTTTTTTGGTCTCCTCCCTATGCCTCTTCTCTTGGCTCGGTTCCTCTTCTTCCCACAACACTAGGGGCAAGGAGCCCATTGGAAATGTGAGAGCCAGGTTAGCACACCCCAGACGACTTCCTTGCAAAGGATATCGGGGTCCTGCAGGCTGGCCTGGCCCATCTGTGTTCTGCAGGGTTGATGCTGGGCTGGCCTCCATGTGGAGGCACAGCGGTGCCCTTGTCCTAGGTGGTAGGGAGCCAGCAGTAGGTTATGTATTCAGCTATCGTGTGACTGAATGACACCCTCTCTCTCTACAGTCAGCACTTTGTGTCTTCTAGGAGCTGACACCCGCACTGCCAGGATCCCAGACGCTGGGCCTATTTTGGCAGACACGCTCCGGAAATTCTTATTCGATCTGGATGTTGATGATGGCCTGGCTGCCATTGGTTACTCCAAGGCTGATATCCCTGCGTTAGTGAAAGGAACGCTGCCCCAGGTAAGAGATGCAGTGCGTCCTCATGCCTTTCGGAGAAGCACAAAGCTGCTGGAAAAACATGGTCCACTTGGGGGGGGGGTCTTAGGGGAGAGGAAAACCCAGGTCTCCTCCATACCAGAGAACAGCTCTTCTCTTCTCCTATGGGAGGGGCCAGCCTCCCTTACCTATATATTCTTCCATAAACCTGTGGCTTTTTGGAGCTGTTATGATGTAACTGAAAGGATCTTTTATAAAAAATCAAGGCAAAAACATCCATATTTGTCTTGAAGTGTAGCAGAATTTCCCTTTTTACCATTTCTGCTCTTTTAAAAGTCCTCTATAAAACTATGTGAAGCCATTCCAAAAGGGCCACTAATATTGTTTTATATTACAAACAGTTAAAATTCCTACTATTTTGTGAAAAAATAGGCATGGCCTTTAAATGGATACCATTACAAAATCACTTTTTAACATATCTGGGAGAGTGTACGTTTTATATACATAACATCTGTATACACATCTGTGTCACTTTGGGTCTTATTTATCTAAATGTTGCTACACAGATTCCCGCTTACCACAAGTAGCAGTGCTTTTCCCTCATCCCTCTGGTTAAACAAAGGCCTCACACTAGCTTCTTCCCCACTTGGCAACTGCTTAGAATGTTGAAGATCTCACCACTCACATAAGATGTTATTTGTATGGATTCGGTTAACGGACTCACATGTCCTCAGGAGGTAGGTAGGCGATTGCAATGAACAAAGTAATTTAAAGCAGTAGGGAGTGGCGGGGACTTTCGTGAACTGGAAAGCTCATAATCCATCTCATTGGGTGAGCATCTTTTCAGCTACAATTTATTATCTACAAGCAGAAATTCAGGTCCCAGTGTTCATAGAGCATCCAATTAAAAGTATATATGTATCAGCAATCTGGATGTTTGTATTGCATTCCCTGTATTACCCACTGTACAAACCAAACATGGCCCATGGGCCAGCAGTTTCCTTCATTTACACTCAAATCCAGTAGCCTCAGTTGTATCTGAAAATACAAATGAATGAGAAAAGGAAACATCTCAAAGTGTAACTGAGCTCCTAGGCTAACTCAGAAACACTTAGCTCTAACCAACAAGTCCAATGGACTAAATAGCCAAAGAATATGACCATCACAGTTATTTTATCCAAACTTACTAGACTGTAAGTTCCAGGAGCGCAAGGATGTGTTTTGCTCCTTCATCCTCTACTGCACCTCGCACAGGCTAGTAAACATGTCAAATGTTTGTAAACCTGCAGCCCTCTCTCCTCCTAAGTCTTCTGGGCAGGTGAGCTTAATGGCTGAATGGTAGTAATTTTTTGAGAAGTTTCCTTACACCTAATAGGAGTCAACTAATGACAAGAAGCCGTGAAAGCCTGTCCAGGGATACCAGAGACCAGGTGGTCACCACAGTTTTGACATGGTGCTTGGCTCTTATAGCATGGTTCCAGTGATAGTGTCCATTCTTCAAGACTGGGGGAGGAGGGGATTTCTGAAGAATTCTGTTTGTTCAGGAATGTGTGTTTGTCAACCTCCAGGGATGGTATCCATGCTTTTCAGATGAAACTGTGTGATATTCTTGGCCATTTGATTGCTAGTGGCAACGCATCTTCTTGCCATCAGCACACATTGGCAAGTGTTTACTGTTTAAATTCTACTGTGCTCAGTCTTTTACTTTCAGAAACTGTTCCAGATAGCAATCCAAACTAACATTTGAGACCATCCACTAAAATAGCAAGTTAATTAGGTATCATGTTAAATGCCTCAGTGTACATGTCACACTGGGAAATCACAGATAGCAAAACCTTAATTAGACAAAGCTAATTTCTTAGTTTCACAAAAGATGCAAGACAAATTGAATCCTTTGAATACAAGTCAAAAAGCAGGAGGCCAGGATTTCAAGTGGTATTCATAAAGCAGCCCCAACACGTATCCTGCTTTTTTTTTTTTTTAATCATGTTTCTATGATTGGGAGAAACATACATAGTTAATTTTAATAAAGTAGCACTAGTTCCATTTTGGAGTCCATGTAATTGAGTCAATGTGTTCTATATATGGAGAGGACAGGAGAGATGCACGGAACTTAGAAGGCATCTTAGAAATCAGCTTGTCTGTTTTGCAGATGAAGAACTACTATGGGTTTTTTGTTTGGTATTTTTTGGCAGCAGTGAACATTTTACAGGAATGCTATAGCAACTTCAGAATTTTACACATGCACAAGCTAATCTTCACTTATTAGTATCTACAGGATTTAAGGTAGTGAGAGGGATATATTGGTTGCTGCAAAGAATATTGCCAGAAAGATTATTTATGTAGTCGACATTTGATAAAGCTTCTTTTATGTTCAGCAAGGAGGGATCAGTTTTCTCTGGAAGGAACAACCAGGCCAGTATTCTTGACCGAACACCACATCCCATACTGATGGCAGCAAACAGCAGCCCTGTGTGCAGAGGCTTCCAACCGCCATACCCAGGCTGCAAGGGGAGCAGGCAAGAATAAATTAATCTTCCAAGTGGGGTTTCTGAAACCTCTGGAAAAAAACATTTACATTTCAAATCCAAACATTTCATTTCTGAGGAGGGCTGTCTACCAAAATGAGCACTTCCACGCCCTGGCAGACAGGCCAGTCAAAATGTTGTTATTTTATGAATGTGCTAAAAGTAGTAGTCAGGATTTATTTCAGTGCCCATGTTAATCAGTTGTCCCTTGGTTTTAAGCATCTATAAATAATAGCGCTGAACACATCTTAATTCTGAGAGTTTGGCTTTTCTATGGCATAGATGATACATGGGGGGATATATCACAAACATTACATCCTTGCCCCCATTTAACCAATCATGGAGCTTTAGAAATGTGAAGGAGAAACCCCGATCACTTGGCCTGAAATAATTCTGAGAATCCTGAACTATTTCGCCAAAGATGAACAGGATCATCTTAAGGGACTCTGAGATCACCAGATAAGATTCTCTCCTGTTATAAACAGAATACTGTGGCAATAATCGTCGGCCATAGCAAATGCTGAATTTCCGTTCTTGACCCTGCCGCTCACAGGTATGTAGGTCGCCATGAACAGGTCTCTGCCTTGCTCTGGATTCTCAAAATTCCTTAGAATCTCTGAAGATCTGCTGCAGTATAAACTCTTATTTGGTTTCACCCACATTCATCATATTGTCCCCCATCCTTCTCCCATCTGCCCTTCCATCCTTCCTTTTGTCTTCTTTAATGTTTATTTATTTTTGAGACAGAGAGCAAGGGAGGTGCACAGAGAGAGGGAGACACAGAATCAGAAGCAGGCTCCAGGCTCTGAGCAATCAGCACAGAGCCTGATGTGGGGCTCGAACCCACAGACCATGAGATCATGACCTGAGCCAAAGTCTGATGCTTAACCAACTGAGCCATCCAGGCGCCCCTTTCCTTCCTTTCTTTAATTATTTTTTTTTAATCATGGTAAAATGTATCTAATATAAAATGTATTAATTTAACCATTTTTAAGTGCATAATTCAGTCCCAACGAGTACATTTAGTGTGGTGCAACCATCACTACTATCCATTTCCAGAAAATAGAAGCTCTGCTCTATTGCTTAATGGTAAACAATAACTCCCCTTCCCCAACCTCTGATGACCTCTATTCTACTTTCTGTCTGTACGGATTTGCCGGTTACAGGTACCTCGTTTCATAAGTGGAATCCTACAATATTTGTTCTTTTGGGTCTGTATAATGACTTCACTTACCATAAATCCTTAATGTCAGAATTTCACTCCTTTTTATGGCTGAGTAATATTCCATTGCATGGATATACCACATATTGCTTTTCCATTTATGTTCAGATGGACATTTGGGTTGTTTCTGCCTTTAAGCTATTGTGAATAGTGCTACTATAAACATTGGTTGTATGAATATGTTTTAGTCCCTGCTTTCAATCTATTTGGCTATATACCTAGGAATAAAATTATAGATCATAGGGTACACCTTCTCTGTTTAACTTTTTGAGGAACTGCTAAACTGTTTTCCATAGAGGCTGTACCATTTTGCATTCCCACCAACAATAAGTGAAGTCAGCAATACACAAGGGTTCCAGTTTCTCCACATCTTCACCAAGATTTGTTTTTTCCATTTTTTTATAGCTATCCTGATGGATGGGAAGTGGGAACTCATTGTGGTTTTGAATTGCATTTTGCTAATGACTGATTTCATGTGTTTATTGGCTATTTACATATCTTCATTGAAGAAATATCTATTCAAGTCTTTTGCCTATTTTTGAGTTGGGTTGTTTAGGGTTTTCTGCTGTTGAGTTGTAGCAATTATTTATATATTCTAGATATTACTAGAATATCAGATGTATATCTTATATACATCTTATCAGATGTATAATCTGCAAATATTTTTCTCATTCTGTCTTTTCAACTCTCTTGAGAGTGTCTTTTGATTCATAAAAGTTTCAAATTTGGATGTAGTCCAATTTACCTATTTTTTTTTTATTGCCTGTGCTTTTGGTGTCATAGCCAAGAAAATATTGCCAAATCTAATGTCATGAAATTTTCCCCTATTTTCTTCTAAGAGTTTTAGTATTACATCTTACATGTAAGATGTAAGTCTTTACATTTAGATCTATTTTGAGTTAATTTTTTTAATGTTTATTTATTTATTTTGAGAGAGAGTTTGTATATGAATCCCAAGCAGGCTCCGCACTATCAGCACGGAGCCCAGTGCAGAGCTCAATTTCACAAACTGGGAGATCATGACCTGAGTCAAAATCATGAGTCAGATATCCAATCAACAGAGCCACCAAGGCACCCCTGAGTTAATTTTTTTAATACATCCTTCTTATTTTCATTCTTCCTTTTACCTTACCTTCCTTTTACTTACTGAGGTCCTGTTTTTACATGCATTGAACAGGATATGGTAAGGAGAAAAATAAAGTCTCTTCCCTACCTCGTAGACCTAACATTCTAGTGAGAGAAGACAGACAATGGGCATCTAATCAAATCTATAAATAAGGTATAAATGAAATCATTCCAGTTAATGATTAATGATATGAAGGAAAACCTGGGCAATGAGATAGTGATTTCACATGGGACAGTGTAGAGGGAACTCCAGCGAGGGTGGTCACAGAAGGTTTCTGACTAGAGGTGGAGGCAGCCACGTTGAGATCTGGGAGAAGCACTCCAGGCAGAGGGGAAAGGCCCTAAGACAGCATGAAGATGAGCATTTTTGTGGGACTGAGAGGGGATGGTGGGGCTAAGTGAGATGAACTGATGGGAGAAGAGTCAGAGCTGAGGTGAGCATCAGGGCCTGAACAGGGTGGCACTGGAGGCATAGTCTTGTAATTGCAGTGGGAAGTCATCAGAGAGGATGAAGCAAGCAATGATGGGAGCAATTTATACTGGGGGGGGGGGGGGGGATATCACCTGGCTGCTCTGCGGAGAATGACCTGTAGGGGGCGAGAGTAGAACAAAAGTGGAAACAGACTTGTGGAGGGGAGAGTGAGGATGACTTAGACTTGGGTTGTGGTGGAACAGGAGGTGAGAGGTGGTCAGATTTGGGATTTACTTTGGAGGGAGATTGGACAAATTTGCTGATGGAGTGAACCTGTAGAGAAAGGAAAGAAAATCAAGAGGACTCCTAGGCTTTTGCCTGAGTGACTGGGTATCACTTCTGAGATGAAGAAAATGGGAGGCAGGAGGCAGAGTTCTGTCTTGAATATGTGAATATTTGAAATGTCAACATCCCCCCCTCCCACCACTGTCATTAATTCATCAGATAACTGTTGGGCACCTATATGCATGTCACGCACTCTCATAGGCACTGGGCAAGAAGACTGAACACAGCTCTGCCCTCATAGAGCTGCCTCATCTACCAGCTATGCTCCCAAATAGGTGCTTAAAAGAAAATAAACTGAGAGACCCGTGAGAATGGAACCAAAAATATAGCATACATCTTAATTTGTTTTTTAATTTTTTATTTTAGAGAGACAGAGAGCACAGGGGAGAGGGAGAGAGGGAGAGAGAATCTCAAACAGGCTCCACCCTCAATGCAGAGCCTGGCATGGGTTCGATCCCATGACCCTGGGATCATGACCTGAGCCAAAATCAGGAGTTGGACACTCAATCCCTATACCTTAATTTCATTTAGGCCCAGAAATTTGGACACAGGGTGGTCATTATAGTATCTTTTAGTCCTCTGTCCCATTGGGATTAAGAAGACACTGATGGGGGTATATATAGCAATAGGATGTGCTGGCTGTCTTTGCTAACTCCATTCAATAACATTGGAGAAATTAAGCAAGTCGCTGAATTCATTTGGGAAGGCAGAAAACCTTAGTTAATATTAAAAAGGAGTCACTTGGGGCGCCTTGGTGGCTCAGTCGGTTGAGCGTCCGACTTCGGCTCATGTCACGATCGCGTGGTCCGTGAGTTCGAGCCCCGCGTCGGGCTCTGGGCTGATGGCTCAGAGTCTGGAGCCTGCTTCCGATTCTGTGTCTCCCTCTCTCTCTGCCCCTCCCCCGTTCATGCTCTGTCTCTCTCTGTCTCAAAAATAAATAAACCTTAAAAAGGAAAAAAAGGAGTCACTTGTTGCCTGTAGCCTGAGAGTTAAGTCCTAATGAAATCTTTTTTAAATATACGTTAAGTCCAAGTTGCAAAGTATACAGTCTTTGAAGTCAAGGACAACCCAGTTCTATTTTCCTTGGCAGCACATGCTATGCCTGGGACAGTGCTCTCTGCCCAGACGACCTACCTGGCATAGGCTGCTGACCAATGCAGTTTGGTCATTATAGGCGGTGTTCTACCCAAGGTTGATTTGGTTCTATACTTTGGGCAGGCTATTGCCAGAACGTAAGCATAATGGCTTTTGAAGGCTTTGTGGGAGAGGTGTCATTCGATAAACTTCTGACTTGGGGATCAGTTAGAATAGGGCAAACAAGAAATAGGATTTTTTTAAGTTTATTTCTTTTGAGAGAAACAGAGACAGCGTGAGTGGGAGAGGGGTAGAGAGAGAAGGAGGAGGGAGAGAGGGAGGGAGGGGGGGAGAGAGAGAGAGAGAGAGAGAGAGAGATTGAGAGAGAATCCCAAGCAGACTCCACACTGTCAGTGTGGAGCCTGATGCAGGGCTTGAACCATGAAACCGTGAGATCACGACCTGAGCCAAAACCAAGGGTCAGATGCTTCGCTGACTAAGCCACCCAGGTGCCCCAAAATATGATTTCAAAGATATAACTATTATCAACTCATTGTTTCTTATGGCCAAGTTAATTTACATAACCTAGTACCTTTTACAAACTGTCTTTTCAAAGCCCTGGGTAACTGCTTTTATTTACTGTTTCAGGAAAGGGTCACCAAGCTTGCACCACGCCCTCAATCAGAAGAGGACCTGTCTGCTCTGTTTGAAGCTTCAATGAAACTGTATTAATTTTCATTCTCACTGAAAGAATTACCACTGGCCATCACAGTCCTGACAACAGAAGCCAAGCTAGCCAGAACTTTGTCTTTTTATTTCCACACATGACATACCTGTTACCAATCTGAATGTGATAATAAGTTTATCCTGCAGAAGATTCCCTAATGCTCAAAGTCAAACTACTTCTGTAAACAGTGGAAGAATGCCCACTATGTTGGACCTTGGGCTAGACATCAGCATTCATGTTCCTGCCCCAAACCACACGGATTTCAACTGCTCTATTTATAAAATGGGCAAAAGCTCAGTATCTATCAAAAACATAAATGCACATATCCCGTGCCCAGTAATCCCTAGTCTAGAAATTGAGCCTATAGAAATATGAGCACAAGTGTGTTAAGGAAGATGGCAAGGATGTTTCTGGCAGCACTCTAATAAAAAATCTGAAAGAACCTAAATATTCATTAATAGTATACAGATAAATAAATCAGAGTATATTAAGTAATGGAATATTATAGTGCTATCAATAAGAATGAGATAAACATATTGGAAATATGCCCATGATATACTGCTAAGTTGGAAAAAAGCAGAACAATTAAATATTTGCATGGTCTGATTTTTACTTTTTAATTATACATAAGTATTTGTCTATATATAGGAAGAAGAATGATACACATCAAAATAACAAAAGTTATCACTAGAGAAATAGAATTTGGGGTACAGAAAATTAAGAGAAAATATTCACCCTATACTTTATACTTCCCCTTTTTATTTTATAAACATCTGTATTGTTTGGATTTGTTATAAGCACATATTTTCTCATTTTAAAAGGACCAGAGAAAAGAGAGAAATATCATTTTATTGTTTTAGGTCAGATTCATCTTAATTTATGAAAATACTAGTAACTAATACTTAAAGATTAAAGCAGATCCAAAGAGGTAAAATATGAGAGACTGATCCTGTGGTAAATAAACAAATTGTTCTTTGGAGAAAAACACTAACACCCTACATGGTAATTCCCTCTTTGGAAAAATGTTTTTGGTGCTCAGAATAAATTAATTCAAAAGCAAGCAGTGTTGTAGTTAATAGACTTCAGCCTTGCCAGTAGAATCTAAGTAGCATGATCATTTGCCTCTCTGTCAATCCCAGCCTACAGAAACTTCTACGGCTCATTTCGCCTCACAAAGGTAACCACACTGATGTTTTTTGCCTGCTCAAGTCTTTGGCAGTCTGGATCTCAGTGCCCTTGTGGATTTATTTGTGTTTTAAGCTGAATTAAAGTTTTAATCAAATAAGTAATGCTATATATAATTACATCAGGATTTTTAAAAATGGAAAAGAAGTGCATTACTGTGCCATTCAGCCTGACCAGCCCCACTTTATCTGTATAAAAGTCTTTATGTCCTTGAGATCTTTTAAATAACATTGAAATAATGTTTCTAGAGTTTTCTCTAATTATAAACATAAAATACATTTGGTACCCAAAACTGGTAAACACAAAAGAAAATATTTGTTAATATTGAACCATCCAAAAGATAGCCACTGTTAAAAATTTGGTAGATGTTTTTTATTATATATATTATATGTGTGCATATATTTTTGACTTAGAAATGGCATCATTAAGATATAGTTTTAATTCCTATAGGACATTCAAATTATTTATATCAAGTGCTCTAAAGGCAAGCATAGGACAGTGCCAACAGAATTTGTTATACCTTGCAGACCACATCTAGCTAAAATTCCCTCCATTTCAAGAGTATCATGGATTCTGAAAGCAGAAGCTGTGTGAACGAGGCAGAATACAGCTAAATTCTCTGCCAATCTGAGATCCTTCAGGAAACTTTAGTAAAAGTTGTTAATGTCTCAAAATACATTTGGCAGAGAAAAAACATATATGTGTCTCCCCACCAACCCACCCCCCCCCCAAAAAAAAAGTCCAGGTAAGTTCTAGAACTCTTACATTCTACAAAGTGATGTGGTATCATTAGAACAGCATTAGGCTAGGGGTCAAAGGCCCTAGGTTCCACTCCAGTCCCTTGGTCTGTCTTGAGTTTTACTTTATTCAACCTAGGCCTCTTCCAGCTTGAATATGCTATGACTAGATTTTATGTATTACCTAATCCTTAATGTGAAATTTTGAGTTTGGGAAATTTAATGTAAAATAGTGTGAGACATAAAAATGAATTCTCTATCTCTTAAACGTTCACTGCCTTTACTATCAGTAGCCAGATGTCTAAATGTGACTCACCAGAAGTGTTTGGTATTCACAGTGATGATCACTCTGTAGAGGAAGGATTTAAAGGTCAAGCATGAAGAAACAGATTGAGGAAGGCTTCATGTTTTTTATCTTTATACCCATCGTGCTGGTCCTTACACTTTGAGAATATGGAAAAGATGTGTTTCTTGACTTATTGGCTATTAAAAGAGTCTGAGATAAGAAAGTCAGCCCATTTCTGTAAACCAAACACTCTTATGTTTCTGAGACAACAATTAAGTGCATGTTTCTAATTCAAATCCTATTTTGTTATTGATTACCTTTAAAAGACCAAAAGTTGTTAGGGGTAATAGCTCTATTTATTTGGATTCATTTACTTGCTAAGGCAAGAAAAATTAAAAGAATATTATTCAAAAGTTTGTATAATATCACTTTCAGTCAACTATCAGATATGGTGGAATTTTCACTTAAAATCTATGTGCTTCCCTATGCTACAGAATACTAATTTGTTTCAAGTACGTCATGTTTATCCTTTTTGTCAAGGGTCACAATAAACAGACTATTCGGTTTGCACTTGTATCCCTTCTCTGTGCACCAGGTCCATGCTGGGCTCAGCATTTTTGCATAGCTGTGGACACAGCTGTGGGGTGTTTTCCAGTGGTCAGTGAAGTAAGTCTGCTCTTGCAAAAGACAGACAAGTACAGTACCAAAATAGAGAGCAAAACTTGCTTTTCTGGCCTTTTAACCCTGAGAAAGATTAATGGCTGTTTGGATTAGAAACTGTACCCTAATGAGGGACTGTTGCCTCCAGGGAGTGGGTATAAGAAAGAGGACTGTTCACCTCCAGGTCAACATTGCACAGGCTGCCTTGTCTCTGATGACCAGCAACCCCAAGCCCAGACAGCTGCCCAGGCCCTCCATCAAACGCCTGACCCTCTGGGAGCTGTTGCAGAGGCCAGCCCACATCCCCGCCATCACTATCACAATGGCCTGCAGGAGGTAGTCTCCAGGGATGAGCCGCATTTTGAACGGGCAGAAATTGGTTCTTGAAGCCCTAGATTGAATTACTGGCAGCTGGGGGTGGGAGGGTCTAGTTTCTCTTGCTATTATTCCACTGTCTTTCCAACCACCATAACAACTCGGAATAAATGCACACCCCCCACAAATCGCAATAACTGTTTGCAATTTCGTCCCCTGTGAAATCCCTCATGAAGCTCTGTGCGGAACAGTCAACATTAAAGTAACCACGTTTCATTCTTTCTGGCTTTAAATATTGGCTTTTTAATTTGGGTATTTTTAATTGGTTTTCCAATTTATAAAATTGGAAAACTGATTAAAATAATCATGAGCGCAAAAGAAAAAACTACCATCATGCCATTACCCAAACACAGCTGTTATCATTTGATGTATTCCTTTCCATCTTTTTCATTTGGGTAGTGTAATTTTCAGCTCTTTTCCCTTGAGGGATGACATTTTAAGTATTTTCTATGTTGCCACATAATCTTCACAATCACTATTTTTAAAAGTACACAATGTTTTGTTGAATAGAAATTTAATAATTTATCCTTATTATAGGGCATCAAGATTGCTTCCATATTTTTACTCCTACCAATGACATAGCAATGAATAATGTATATTTGGCTTTTTTCATATTCTAAATTAACTTCTTAGGTTAGTTAATCCCCAAGTTGACTTTTTATATTAGAAAATGGGCATTTTGGGGCTCCTGGGTGGCTCAGTCGGTTGGGCATACAACTTTGACTCAGGTTATGACTCACGGTTCGTGAGTTCAAGCCCCGCATCAGGCTCTGGGCTGACTGACTTGAAGCCTGGAGCCTGCTTCTCTCTCTCTTCCTCTCTCTCTCTCTCTCTCTCTCTCTCTCTCTGCCCCTCCCCTGCTAGCACTCTGTCTCTCTCTCTTAAAAATAAATAGAAATTAAAAAAATTAGAATATGGGCATTTTTATGGCTTTTGATTCACACCGTCAAATTATTTATACTCCGCTGTTGTCTTAACTTTGTTTCCCCTCTTCTTCAATCTTCTCTTGAAAATAAGTAGTAGTGCAAACCAAAAAGAAATGAAACAGAGCTCACATGCGCGACCAGTACTGGGCTATTTGTGCAGACCTGCAAGAGTCACCTGTGGTTTTTTTTTTCCTTTCATGTCAGTATATCTTAAACAGTTCACATGAACAGATACAGATTTAAATTCCCAAATAAAATTATGAAACTTACTTTAGTGTTACATTATTGCTTTTTAAGTGAAACTGTAGACCACCAAGTCTGCTTTTGCTACTCACATTTTTTTTCCTTCTAGAACCCTCCATGGGCCCCAAAACCTACAGGTTTGTGTTAGTACATTCATGGTTCCCAGTTTTCCTGGCCAAGAAAAAAGACCCAAGGGAGGATATAAATATCCTTTTCTATAAGGCTGTTCTAGAACCATCCAGGTCTGTGAGTGCAAGGACTGCTGCACTGGGAAGAGGCAACACCAACAACCATCTCCACCGAGATCCCTCCCAAGGGTCTAAGTTGCTTCTCTCATCAAAAACCTCTCTAATCTCTGCAATTACGCACATTGGTCCCAGTGGCTTTGGCAACATTTACTGGAGACTCATGTGATTGGTATACCAAGCACTACATATGAGAAAAGAATGTTTGTAAGGCAACATATAAATGGAAAGATGTCCAAAGAGTACTACCAGGCTGGAGTGGCCACCTGAGTAAGAACAGGCTAATTTCCTTTCATTTTTCACATCTCCTTTAACTATTATATACTCAAAACATAGCTTGATACCTTGACAAAACAGTTTTCCAAAGAAGGAAGGAGACCATGGATTTGGGGAGAAGAGGATGGGGGTTCTGCAGGTAGGGGTGATTTGGGGGTGCTAAGGAATGATTATAGGAACATGACATTTAGTAGTATTTTTAAGCCAAATTATTGTCACTTTATAAATACAAATATCAACTCTTATCAAATGCAGCAGCCAATTTACTAGGGCATCTACTACAGCTGGCAATAATAATCAACTAAAGACACTAAAAGTTTATTTATTGAGTCAATGTAATGCACCCTCAACCTGTGGCAGGCCCTTTATCAAGGGTTTACCCACTATGAGAGAGGCACTGCTATGTTCTTTTTGCACAAATGAGGAAACTAAGACTTAAGTTATATAAACACACACACACACACACACACACACACACACACACACACCTGCCAACTTCACACAGCTAGTAAAGGGTAAGACTATCACTTGATCCCAAGGTCATCCTGACCCTCCATTCCCAGCCACCAAGTTCACTGCCTTCCAAGTGCCTTCTGTTGTCTAAGAGCTTCTTAAATTGTATTTAAATACTGTATACACTTGTGTACAACACAGTGCTTTGAACACAGTAGGGACCCCATAAGTACTTGTGAAATAAAGGATTCTATTTTATTAAAGGGGGAAGAAGGAAAAGGAAGAGAAAAAGAAGATTCTGCAAGCCTTTGACATGTCAGAGAGAAGTTGAGCTGCCCATGCTGGTGGCCACACAGAAGGGCATTAGAGGTAACAAAACCACCTTGGGGGTGAATCCCAGCCCTGCTTGTTACTGAGTAACCTTGGGTAAACACTTAGATTGTCTGAGCACAAACTTTACCTCATAGGGTTGTTATAAACAGCAATAGGAAGTAATATATGCTACATGTCTAGAACAGTGGCTAGCCCATAGTCCCATCGTCCTGGCTCATAAATGTTAGTTCTCTTCCCTTTCCTGAATGCTAAGCTTGCAGGAAGACTTTTATCCCAGCAGCTGACTATCAGATCACTGCAGCGATGTCAGTTGGGTACTAAGGGCTTACAAACTTCCCTCA